TTCTTCTTTAATGTTATATAATTTTCCTAACGCTTACAGAAATATGTGTTAAAAAATAATAAATAAAATAAATCTTTCTTCTAAAGAATTTTTGCTAAACTATTTTACTTACAACCCATTTTAAAAAAAGGAGCTATAAAATTTTTGAGTTTAGAAAATTAATGTTTTATACTTTTGTAATGAACTTTCATTTAAAAGTAATAAACTGGATTATTAATAAATTTTAAATAATATTTTAATAGGAAGTAAAGTATAGAACTTTTTACAGGTTTTTTTAAAAAATTAAATTACATCGTTAAATTTGAATTATCTGACGGAATTTTAAGGTAATTTATTATTGGAAAATTATTCTAAGAATCTTTAGATGAAATTTCCAGTAATATTTCGAAAAATTTTCAATCCTTATCCAAAAAAATTAAAAATTATAAAGCATATTGATAATTGATACACATATATAATGAATCTCTTAATACAGATATTTCTGTATATTTTTTAAGTTATTACAAACATATTAAAAATTAATAAATATATTTAAATACAGTTAATATATTTATTATGATAATAATAATAATTCACGAATTTCATTCCTTAATTTTCTCACGAATTTCACTATCATGATCAACATTGCTATTCTGCATATCATCACCATACAACACTAAAAATAACTATTTAAACTAAAATATAACTGATTTTTCTAGATAATATTTGTTATACTATCCAAAAATTACATATTTTATAGCAAAAATAAGTGCAAATCCTTATAAACTAGACGGAAACAGATTTCTGAATATCTCTAAGAGATCTCTTTCTCTTATTTTAATCTTCTTAAATGTATACGTGCAGACGGACTTACAGAGAAGCTTAATTATAGGAAAATTGTTCGATCGGCCAATAATGCAAATACCACACCCTTCTGAAAAATGAAGCACGTGTACGTATGTGCAGAAAACGTGACAACCTTCTACCGACCGAGAATAGAACCACACCTTTCTGTTCGGTCGCTGCATTTTCTTAAAACGAAAACCGTAAACAGAATTCTACAATTACTCAAAAATGACGTAGAATTGCGAAATTGTATTGTATTTATTTATAACATTCAAAACTGCTTGGAGGAGGAAGTGTTTACGTTAGCATCTCTTACATTTTTCAAGGGAAAAAGTCATCTTTTATTCTAAGAGAAGATGCTAAAACTATTAAAAAATGTACAAATCGAATCTTTATACTGCTCGCTAAACAATATATCAATGTCCTTTTGGAATTAAAGCTTGTATCTCTTTCACTTTCTACTGTTTTCGATATATTGATACTATGAGACCATTTGTCTTCTGTGAAAGGATATTGGCTAAATAGAATAGAAGAAATGACTTAAACTTTTTCAAAATACTTCAAAGTATTGACGCTCGAATGACACTAAAATTTAAAATCTATTATACATTTTTAATTTCAGATGAATAGAATTTATTCCTTTCATTATATAAATGTATTTTATACTCGGTAGACTGTCTGCGTTATCTGCCTGATTAAGTATGAAACCTTTCAATATCTTGACTTAGAAGGTAAGAGCAAGATGTCAAACTTGCACTTTTTACGCTTGTATTTAACTTCTTGTTAGCTACAAAATTAGATTTTATGACCTTCTGCAATACTTCAATTTACTTCGGCATACGAAGCGCTTCGGAAAAATTTTTTTCGGTACGACAGTAAAAAATTGAATTTATTAAAAGTTTTAACAGTGATTTATGAGATAAAAACGTTCATTTTAATGTAAAATATAGTTAATATTCTATCACAGTAAGCTGAATAAGCGTAATATAAAGATTCTATCATTAAAAAAATAATTAAAATAAAATAGAAAAATTAAATTTTACATACAAAATATTCATTAATTTACGACAGAATATTTTATTCGTTGAATCATGCGACGATTAAGGAACAATTTAAGTAATTTATCTAATTTTTATGTAAACAAAAAGTTGAAGCATGTATTGATAATTAAGTACCACTACTTTAAATTTGAAAGTAATTTTTTAAGAAATTTCATGGTTTGTAGTTCGCTTTATCGTAATTTGTAATAAGTTTCGGTCAAAGATTTCAAATAATCAATTTTACCGTCCATTGTTTAGGATCTTTTGTGTCAGAAAACGTTATCTTTTTAAGAGTCTTTGGAGCATTTCTCTTTGATCGATTTTCTTGCCTGGATATGTAATCTTTTGCCTTCCAACAGAATTTTTAGGCGACGGAAAAATAACCATTTCCACCTTATAAGTAGTTTTTAAGCCGATTTTAGATTAAATTTAAATTTCATGATCGTACAACTCTCCGTTTTTCTTCTCGAATTTGTATATTTAAACATGATTTTATTACTGCAGGAGCTAATGTTTTCAGTAATTTAATACAACATTTAAGCTTTGCATGATTAAAATAATAACATTTCTGCATACTAACTACTAAAAACTAAAGTGAAAGGAACAAAAAAGGACATTTCTGTAATGCTTTACAGCGCAGAAATTAGACGAATCACTTAAAGGAATTTGAGTATGAAGTGTAAATCGACTGTGCTTATTTTTTTACACGTGAAAAAGCTCCACGGAGAGATTAAAAAAAAGCTGAACCTGTTAACGCTTTATGTGTGTAAAATAAGAATAAATAACCACACCCGTATGAAAATAGATAAAATGATTAATTAATAAAGGTTAATAATACATAATGAATACCCATTTTAATAATAAAAATGCTGTTTTGTAATTTTAATTGTATCAAACAGGTAGATCAATGCTACCTTATGTAAAAAAATGAAATTTTTTGTAAGGTAGGAGAGTAAAATCCATCAAAACTGGCTTTAAAATCAGATAGTGACCTTTTTGGCCGGTAGCCAGACTAGTTACCTGTGAAACCTGTCAACAAAAGTACAAAAACTAACTACCTTTGCTTCCAAAAAAGAATAAATACATATATATATATTCTTATCGATCACTCATTACTTTATCATATAATAAGTTATCATGATTGAAGAATAACTTTGTTAAATTAGTTACCATCTCCTAACTCGTGATATTATAGTAATAAGATAGCATAGTTATCACTTTGTTGTCGTTAAGGTGTGGATTTAACGTATTCTGCAGTTTACACTTAGCACCGAATGTTTCCATAATAGCATGTTCGACAGTTACATTACTTTTGATAATGTTAAAGATCTTCGTTACGATAGCAGATATCCATCTGTTATCGTAACAAAAATCTAATGCTATTAACGTAAATTGCTACTTTAATAACAAATTATCATTCGAATCATTTAGCAATGCAATTTTAAATAATATACATATATTATTATTTTTATCATTGCAATTATAGCATGGATTTCATCTTAATAAATCAAAATATCGACTGTTTATTAACACTGCTGCTGCAATAATAATATGGTGATAAAGGCTGCATTGGATGGAAAATAGATTTTTAGATAAACTATTTTGCTTCTGTGTCACTGTGGTGTGTACTTGTGGGCAGTGGCGTGTTATCCTATGGGCAAAAAGGGCAATTTTTTGGAGCCCCCATCGATAGGGGCCCCAAACCAATATTTTATAAATTCATTACTCTAGTAAGAGTATCCAAATTTAAATTTAAACTAAAAAAAAAAAAAGTCTGTCTTAAATAACAAATCTAAAATTACATTTTATTAATGAATAATTCAATATCAATCAATTATTTCATTTCTTATTATAATAAAAATGTGAATGCTCGCTTATCAGTGTACTTATTAGATCATCATCCTCCAGATCACTCCCTCCATTTACGCCATTGCTGTATCATAACAATAATCACTCACAATATATTAATTAATAAATATTGCTTTTCTACTCTGCCCAAGTTTATATAACAGTGATTATATTAAAAAACAAACCTTAAATTAATTTTAATTACATTAAGATTCGTCAAAACTATAATATACTGCTATAATAGCGTGACGAAAGCACTTCCATCTGGACTGCTTTAAGCATTGAAATTTTTACTTGTTACTCATTAAAGCTCTGTTACTCACTTGAATAATTACCAAGAATAAATTACCCAATAGAATAATTGTTGTGAATGAGAAATTAATAATTAAAATCAAACGGCTGAAGGGTAACAGTTTGTAGGTATTTATTATCAGAAACTTCATAATGATGAGAGATAGTGCAAGAAGGTTTGCAACGCCCTGAAGGCATAAATGGCAAAAGCTGAGAATAAAATCGAATTTTGTTAAGAAAATATTGGATATTACTGAAACTTTTTTGGTTTATAATGTAAATAAATACGTAGAAAACAATATAATTTCTGTATATAATAATATAAATTATTATTTTCATATTTAGAGTAAATTATTATTGTCATTTATATAATTTAATATCTCGTTCATACTGTTGTGAAGTATTGTTTCTACTTCATACCCTCTATTCGATTTTCATTTAAATATTTATATTTAAATGAAAATTTTAATTTTATAATTTACAGCAGATAAATAACGAATTTTTTAAATAAAATTAATTTTCTCTGAAAGCAATTAACATGCTTCTTTCGAGTCGAGGATGCATCATTGGGAATTCAGGACGTATCCAATCTTGTATAGGAAACTTAACGAAATAGTAAACATTCCTGTCACATGTTTTCTCATTTATAAAGGGGTGGAGTCCAACTGTTTCTATTATCTACACACAAACAATATTGTTACATATGTCATTTCGTTATCTAACCATTTCCTTTAGCAACAGTAATCATTTCCTGCAACGTTTATCAAACATGTGGTCCATGAATTATTCACTCATGAATAAGAAAAGATGCAACGTATTTTTTTACAGCTTGCTATTTTATATTAGCAATTTAACTTAAAAGCTTTCAGTATTAATCTTATAATATAATTTTTATAATCAGAAGACTATTAAAAGATATAAAGTTTCACCTATAATATCCTTAATAAGTTATATATAGATTAAGAAACTAATAGTGATTCTTATAAAAATACTTACCAAGTGTCGTTGTTTTCGAACAATAGAACACCATCAATAGGTTCGTAATCTTTATTAGCTTTAGCACTTCCATCTAGGGTTCTAAAAGTTATAAAAACTCTTCCCCGAGCACCGCTATATCTGTTGACACGTAGCCTATACAGTCCAATAGACTCAGGCACCTCTTGTTGAGAGTCACTAAATGTGAAAATACCTCCGTGATCATCATCCAATATCATCACTGTAGCAAGAGAAGGGTTCACTAGCTTCACGGGTGGCCTGGGATTAATTTGGCCCGGAGAACCATTCATGGCACGAGGGTAACCGTCCGGTGAGAGTAAGTAACGTGGATTGCTCAGCTTGACGTAAAAATGTTCGTCTTCCTCGAAAACGTCATCGTCGATGACCGTGATGAAGATCTGTTTGTGAGCTTCACCAGGACGGAAGACAATTGTACCCTCTAGGGGTTCGTAATCGTCACCGGCGTTAGCGGTTCCATCTTCGGTGGCAAAATCTACGCAAACTGCATTATTCAGGTCACCCTCTCGGCTGATAGTTACTGCAAATTGGCCCACATTCTCCATAACTGTATAGTGGCCAGGATTAAAGAAAATCCTAACCGAATCGTCTTTCTCTTCTTTCTTCTTAACCTGTTCTTTAGTAGGTGGAGGTTCTGGACGTTCGATCTTCTTTCTAACCAAATTACCACCACCCATCAATTTTCTGGTGGCCTGAATCCTGTAGAAAGCCCTACTTTTGGGTCCTTTGTTTAAGATCTCTTCTCTTGCCATCATTTCGATTTCGTCCATACTGCATCGAGGATTTTTCCTTCTGATATCCCTCAATAACTGTATATATTCCCGTCTATGCTCCTCAAATTCTCTGATCTCATCGTTATCTTCTTCTTCGAACACTTTAAACCCGGTATCGGAAGCACTGCTTTTATTAGCAGTGCCCATCTCCACATCACCCTCACCTTCGACTATAACACCCCTCTTGTTCATCCTGTACCGTTTAGATAGGAATTTATAAATAAATAACCTTCTATCCGCAATATAAGCTGTTAGAACAGTGGTTGGGAAGAAAAAAAAAGTCAGGAGCCCCTCCCATACTTCGATCACTCCATGACTCGACCAGGTTAAGATGAGGTAAAGCCAAATATAAGCGAAGACACTCCAAGTCATGGTGACGAAAAATACTCTCAAGTGCTTTATCCTACGATTTTCAGGAGAAGGTATGCTCCATACACAAATTGCTATAATGACAAACATATTAAAAGCAGCACTACCCACTATAGTTCCTGGTCCTAACTCACCAGCTTCAAAATTCTGTCCGTATACTTCAATGATGGACAGCAATATCTCGGGTGCAGATGATCCGAGTGCCATTAGAGTCAAATTGGAAACCGTTTCGTTCCATATCCTAACATTTATTGTTTGTGTTTCACCATTTGGTTTCTTGATCACAACTTCTTTCTCCTTCGATGTGATGACTTCAATAGAAGCCATGAAACGATCCGCTATGATGGATACTCCTATGAATATATAAACTAGAGCAACAAAATAAATCAAACCTCTCGCTACTACATCTCCCGTACTTAGATTCCTATCCGGTAGCCATCTTGGTAATAACAGCCCATCCTTGCATAAAAACTGTGTAGTATTTTTCTTATTACAGTAAGCGTAAGGGAGAAGTAAAGTCAATAAAAAAATGATGATGAGTTTTATTGATACATTCATTTTTTTTCTTATATTAATGAATTTCAATATTGCTGTAATGGTAATTGAAGTCGGAACTTCTTTCACCTTGGTCCATTTTACATGCTATCTATTTTTTCGAATTTTTGAATATTTTGGAACTTTATTCTCCATCTTCCTCCCTGTAAATAATGAAATATGATTATTTTATGTTGCTTTACTATTAAACATCATCGTTATTAAAATAAGTTTAAATAACAATTTACTCTTTAATTTCAAAAGTTGATATGCATTTATTCCTATAGTAGTTACTACTATATGAACAAATCTTATCAATTATAAATTACTAACACAATGCATTTTGTAACGAAATTATTGCTAGTAACATAAATACTGCTGTAAGAATAAAATTGCTGCTACATTTGGAAAATAAATTGTGTAATACTCGTAGTATCACAGATGACTGAAATAGCTTCACGAACAAAACTAGTGATTAGTTTTTTAAAAACACATATAGATGCTATTACAGTATCAATTCTTAAACACAATTACAACAATAATCATATCAAATTAAATTAGTAGGCTTTCTATTGATAGGCCATAATTTTAGTGTAATTGCAATGACAGACGAACTATTATAGGAACAATTCTTAATTAAAAAATAAATCGGATATTATACGTAAAGAAACGTTTTATATCGATTATTTATGCTGCTACAGATAAAAGTAAATAAATTTATATTATATTATAATTAATATTTTGTAANCTGTAAGTATGGTTTTTGAAGGCTTTTGTACAAAAAGTCAGAAAGTAGGCTTAGGGAAAACCGGGTGGTAATATGGAACCTTACTGTGTGTTTTCAAAAAATGCTTTAATGTACCCAAAACAAATAGGAAGTACAAAGCAAGTTAAATAATTACAAAATCATTTACTGCAATGTATTTTATTGAAAAAATAATGCTTTTATAATAGAAAAATATGACCTCCATCAAAAATATATATTGCAGCAGCTTTTTTTCAACATTCTCAAGAAGAATTGGCGTTCTACCTAGTATCTTTTTCACAAATCGCTCCGGACGAATGTCTGCTTGCAAGTAGAGAGTTTGAAGGAGTTGGGTTCCATATTAAAAGCACCAATGGGGTCCGTATTTCACGCATCACCATATTGAATTAACTTATGTCTGTCAAGACCAAACTTTAAAAAACATGAATATTACACAGATTAATATGTACCCCAAGTCTCTGGAACGGAATACATGCATCAGTGAATCTAGAACTACACGATTTATATTTTAGAAATAATTAAATTCACTTAGCATTCAAAACTTTCGAATTTCGAAAAACACAAATATGCTGATTCACTACGGACAACCGTTTAACTGAAGTGGAACGGGTTTTCCTCTTGCTATGGATGTCTGCCTAGTGCAGTTCAGCCACAATCCACTACGGTTCATCTTTATTATCAATTTGAAATGGACGGGTTCCATAATACCTGCAGGGTTCCATAATACCACCTTTTCCTCTATTATTCTTTGTTTTCATCATAAGATGTAATTTAGTTATGCACACACGTCTATACGAATTATCATAAAATATTGGCTGAACCATTAAAATTTCATATTTTGCAGGAAAATTGTATTACTAGAACTAAATATATGTGTAATAAATAAACAAAACATAATATTTAAATGTATAAAACAAAACAGAATGTAATTACAACAATTATTCAAAGTGTCAATTCTCATTAATGCATTTATCTACTGTCGTTACCATAGTTATCACCTTTCAATATTTGAAATTTTTTAAATCTAAACGAGAAATTATTTATTGTGACATCGTCACAACGCCAGCTGAAATTTTTCGTCACAATGCTCTCAATTTTAGTAGTGCCTTGCCCCTGTACATCATACTTTCCTGTTAATAACACAGTCATGACAGTCAATCATCTAACTTCGTTCAGGAAATAATTTTTGAACTAAAATAACATGACTTCTGCTCTATGCCAGAAATTCGTATTAATTAATTGAGTCCTCATATCCGTAAGCTTTCCATATCTGGTGTTGACTTTCATCTATCTAACAACGTTCTCGAGATTAAGAAAGAGCACACAGACAGACAAACAGACGGATGACAGAGGAAATTTATAGGTCAAATTGCAGTCCAATATAAAAATAATAATAAGATAACTCTTTTATTACTTTTGGCTCACTCTGTATTTTAAAATGAGATTTCTTATTAATCTATCAATTCAAAGACAACATAAATTAAATTATTGCAAGTAACAAAGAAAACTTTAATCATACACAAACCTGATCTTTGAATATAAATAATAAATTAAGCTATTGTTAAATTTAAAAAAAAATTAAATATATAAATTAATTTCAACTTTTCTAACAGTTTGAAGTAATTAATCTTGATAATATGTTATTAATATGTGGATAATTTATATCAACAATAAACCATTGTCATAGAATATCAAAAAAAATGGCAGACAATACGTTTAAACTTTATTTTCTAGAATTGTTTAATGTGTTTATTAGCTATTTCACACGATAATTAATCTTTACATAGTTAGAATGATATCAAATAAGCTTTAAATTATATTGTTGCCTTAAATAAATAAAAAATAAAACAAATTGGTACGTAACATAGTTACAAATTAATTAAGCATTGCAGTAAGATATTCATATATACGACGTTGTTTACATCTTATAATTTATGATTATATTGAGTCAACAAACTAGATTAGCATACTATTATCTGTAAACAAATAAAATTTATTATATCTTTTATTGAGTTATAATATTAATCACATGTGGCGTGGTCATAAAGTCCCCACGCTCGAGATTGTGTCCTGAATCTTTCAGTTAGAAAATATCGCGACGACAAATTTAGTGAATGATAGATTGGACGTGGATCTGATATGTTGTGGTCTCTTCAGACTTAACAACATGTGACAATTCGCTTTGGGGCATTGTAAAAGAGAAAATTTCTCAAAACTCTACCTTAAAGGTAGACTTAAAAACGACTATCGGGGGCTCCTTTAATAACTTCCAAACTTCAGCATAAAAGATGCCCAAAAAACACGAGAAAAGGCTAAAATTTATGCAGAAAATGAAGAGGAAACGTGTAAATAGCTTCTAATTACCATACAAAAGGACTTGTAGAATTATGGAGTTACCAAAGTGCTTATGTATGCTAAATTGCAACATATCAGAGGAGGTTACAACATATCAAGTGATTTTGATAGCGTAATTATATCTGTATTTTAATATAAATTACGTCTATTTATATATTTACTTTAAAAAAATACTAATTAATTTAAAAAAAAACTAAAAATTAGAAATATAACAATTTTATTCAATACTTTATGTGATTTTAATCATATAAAAGTCGTGTATTCGTTGCGTGTCTGATCGAAGAATACTAACATAACTAATATTTTTTTCAGATATTAACTAAAAAGTCTGACATTTTATAAAGTTGGATAGTATATATACTATCAAAATTTGTAAAAAAGTAAAAAGGAAAAAAAAATTAAGCTGTGGAGATTTGCTGCAGGCTAATGTTCGAAAGTACTATTATTTTCGAGCTCTTCTTCTAAAGTATTGATCCGTTAAGAACTGTTATGAAGCAAGTTCGCATTTGTAACCGAACGACGAGAATATTTTTTTTTTTTGGAAGAAGTTCGGTTTAAAATATACAGTCAAAATTTTTTTCATTTCTATACGAAAATTCTTCCGGATTTTGTAGCAAATATCTGCATTTACCGGATATTTTGAAATAAAAAAAAAAAAAAAAATGTTTTTACGTCCAAAATTCCCATTTTGGTCGGTATGTATTCCGAACATTCGAAAAATATTTTTGATTTTCTACGATAAAGTTTAAATTTGTAAATATCGAAAATATTTATAAATATAAGGCTTAGAAATAAAAAAAAAATACTTAAACTCCAATAAATGTAAAAATAAATAGAAAAAAAAGTGTTTTTTATTGAGTATAACGTAGAAAAAATTCTTAATGTTCTAGTATTTTCGAACATGCTCTAATGTTGTAAATGTTCGAAAATACTAAAAATATTAAGAGTTTTTTGTATGTTTTTCTATACTATACTCCAATAGATTTAAACGTCAATAGACTTAAAATAAATAGAAAAAATAGTTTTATCTAGAGTGTGAGATAGAAAAAATAAAAAATTCCAAACTTTCTGACATTTTTGAACATTACAACGTAAAGGGAATATGTTCGAAATTAAGAATTGTTTTGTTTATAAAGTTTATATAATAAAAATTTTAAAAAATATATCGAATAATAATATTTAAGTGCTACTAAAATAGCAAAACCTATTCGAAAGTAAATTGTTATTGTATATCAATATTCTGTTTTTGAATCTAACAGAGAGAAAATGCATTTAATTAAATAATACATTTTCGCTAATGCCACTATTGATTTCGGTTGTTCATTCTACCGCTAGAAAAAAAAATCTAATTCCTTATAATTTTAATTAATTACTTATTTTTTTAATTTATAGAATTTTTAAAAAATTTAAATAACTTTTAAATATTCTTATTATGTCATAAATTTTTCCATTTAAACATAGTCCGTAGAGGGGGGCAGACGGGGCACGTATTCCTACCTGGAATCGAATAAAAAATTCCACAAATTACAATCGTAAAAGTGAACTTATGCCATCGACCATGAGAAGTTTTGATGCAATAATATATTTTATAATCTACTTGTTAAAAAAACTCCCAAAGAATTAAATAATTAAACGAGCAAAAACTATTGTCCAACACAATTCCGGGCTGCAATTTTTAATCATATTTGTAATTTAATCAATTTAAAACATACGAGTTTGCTATCAACCTCAAATTAGTGCTGTAGTGTCTTGCCCCTGTAAATCATACTTTTTCTGTTAACAATACAGTAGTGCCGGTCAACTATCTAACTCCGTTCAGGACAAATTTTTGAGCTGAAATAACATAACTTCCGGTCCAACCCATAAATTCGTATTAATTAATCGAGGCCTCCTATCATTAAATTTTCCATATATGGTCTCGACTTTTATCTATCTAACAACGTTCTCGAGATTAAGAAAGAGCACACAGATAGACAAACGGACAGACGACAGTGGGAGTTTATAGGTCTACAATCTTTCAAATTCC